GATAACCATTCAACCAATATATAATTGAGTATCTGTTTCTGAGTTACACAACTTGTCACAAAACTCTATTATAGCAACTAATAACTTAATGTGCTTTCAAAATAGAACTATTAGCTTAGGGCAATCAGTTCAGTGTAAGTTTTTCTACTAACTAATGAAGCCATTTTATTTGGTAGAATAGTAATTAGTAAAGATGACTAATACATTTTTGCAATTTAAAACCTCACCTTTTGAAATGAAACAAAATCCTACTGACATATTCCAAGACAATGTACTTAATTCGTATCTATACGGATGAAGATATTTATTTGTTTTGATGTTAGATGGTCAGGAGCAATGAATAGGAAAGCGGTCTAGTGTGGCTTCCTATCTGAGATAGGTATTAGAAAACAAGAATGATTGAAATTTTATTTTAAGGTGTGAACAGAGAACTAAACCTAATTCGATGACCTATGAATATGTTACTGAACCGACATTACACATTTTCGAACAGTAGTTGCAAATACTAAATAAGACAGTAAATGAAGAACTGAATGAAGAGATTGAGAAGTAGGTTGTTATATCTCGCACCTAAATCTGCATCTGTTTCGGAACTTCTGATATCGAGCAGTGAAATAATGATTAAGCAGTAGATGAGCTACGTTTATAAGACCGAAGTCTGTCAAGAAAACTATGCGTGGTTGTAATTTAAAATTGGTATATCTGCGTATACCGTCATTAATTAATGGAACCCATATGATACATGATAGGCAAGCACAGTAGAAAGCCAGTGAGTGCATGAATAGTAAGTGGGAACGTGTATGTGTATTTTTTTGTGTTGATCAAAACGTAAGTAAAGCTATTGATTATCTTTGTTTACAATCAATTAGAAAATAGATAAAGATTTGAGGACATGCAATAAATCATAATGATACGATTATAGACATAATCAAGTATGACAGTCTTTTTTCTATCACACAAATCAACTGAGAAAGGCTTGTCACAGATTACTCTGCAGAAGACAGACTAATCAGTTAAACCTAAAATAAATTCATATTGATTACGAATCAGGACTGCAGAATCATATCTGAGGCCTCCTCGTGATACAACTGGGTAATAAAGGCAACCCTGCTAGTTAACTTGAGAGTTCGCTAGAGATCAAACTTACCACCCACTCCAGTGCCCTAACCGATAACAGAGTCTTCGAAACTCAAATTCTAAAACCAGAAGGAGTGCTTGTGTATATCAGCTGCATGTGTTTCAGTCTATTTATTTTCTGCACGTAAGTATGTGCAAAGTTTATGCTCGTGTGTTTCCATCAAAAAGAATGTTAGCTGAATAGTCTGCCCAAAAAATATATAATCCGTTACCAAAACACCCATCAAAACAAAAAAAATAACAGGTCTGTGAATAGAAAAAATGTTGGTCTATGTGGATTCAATGAAATGCTTGGGTGAAAGCTTGAATATTAGTGTTACGCATATAATGCATGACAGCCTGTGGTGCCAAATCGGGTCATGGGAATGGTGACCATCTGCCCCCTCAGCGGACATCTGTACCTTTATGTATACCAAGAGATGCACGAGTATCGTGTAACTTGGGGATATAAATTATACCTGACCTCCGTGGTAAGCATATCTGTGTGCATATCACGAGATATGTGAGGTGAAAACTCATATGTTTTTAATGTACATGTAGAGTACACTTGAGAGTGATGCGACGCATGTGCTCCGAAATCCTAGGAATTATAGCTTCTCACAAACCTCTGTGGGTTTCTGTGCGTCGCAAGAATACTCATTCCAGAGACGTCACTTGGTGCCACCAAATTCAGCTTCATCGACCTCTACATACGGAATGCCGCATCGCACTTGTTTAAGGTAGTTTCGCTCTTACAACAATAAATCACTGAAAAACACATCTACCTAATACATGCTCAATTATTTCATTGCTTTTGAAGATAGTTATTTAATGTTTTATGATAATAACCAATGAAGTCACTTAAGCTAGTTATTGTACGTTGAACTTTAATCTAGAACAAAATGTTTCCGAACTCGTTGTCCTTATATTAAAACGGAGGGCTATAGTAATTCATATGATTTAAGTAACTGTTCTTTACAATAAATTCATGAAAAACAACACATTTTGGAGTATATTTCACTGCCTTTTCAACTTAAAAAAGGATTTAAAATGTCTGGAATCCACCATATGCTATTATATCCTTATCAAAGCTTGCAATAATGTTAAAAAAAGTTGTCACAGCTGTGGTGGTTGAAGCGGTTCAGGTTAATTGTGTTACGAATGTCGTCCTTATTTCTAGAAGCGTAGTACAGACGGGACTCAAAAATACTCCTGATAGCTAGAAGTATTCACATCATTCGTATTAACAAAATATGCCTCAAAAACTTGAGGTTTAAGCCCTTCATAACATCAATCCTTTAATTCTTTAATATGGTTTATCCCAATGATACCTTCTATACAAAAATACTGAACCATATACTTACTTTTAAAATGTTCTACTTCATCTAAAGGAAAAAAAATCACTTCATTCGGAATGTAGTGAGTATCATCAGGAGAAAATGTGTCTAACTTTCCTTCAAAACGAAAGTCAAAGAAAAAGCTCTCAGTGGCCCACAATCTCACTCCAATTTGGACGAGCCACTAAATATGTTATGGAGAAAATCTTTCCTTCGATTTCCGTATACCATGTTCAGCCGAAATGAGTTTGTTCGGCATCGATTACGAGATTAATTTATTGAACACAATTGTTCACGCCGACGGATATGGTACTAGAAAACGTCAAAGCAGAGCGAGCAAACTCAGTGCGGTGAGGAATTACTAAGTATTTATAGTCAGGAAGTAATATGCTAGACATGTAATCAGCGAAGTTAGCATGCACACAAACCCAAATGAAAATGACCAAGATTATAAGCGAATAATATACTAGGTCGAAGGACGACTAAACAATGACTCAGGCAGTAGAGGTTAATTGGTTTTCCCTAAAGCTAGGACTAATCTTGTAGGCTCAACATATTAGTACACATCCAATAAGCTAAAACAAATATAATTTCCCAACTACATGTATTCTTCATTTCGTTAGTATTTTTGGCGATAGCTATAATTTAGCAGAAGTTGAGAGTGATAGTGGTAAAGACAACTGGCCTTTTGAGGAAGTTAGATTTAATATTACATTCACCTGCATCCTACGCCTAGAATACCGTACAGTCATACCAAGGAAAAAGATCGTTTGGTTTACAACATCTCGTTAAAAAAATACTTGACATATTAGCATGCACCAGATAATCATTGAGTGCACCATGCTATTCATCTCTCGCAACAACTAAGTGGCTTTTTTCACATCGCGACATTTGGGTTATCAAATATATCTTCAAAAAGCTTCAAAGGTAAAATACTTACTAATGTTTCGATTCCTAAGATTGTCGTTTGAGAGTGAAACTCCCAGGACCGAAGTAAAGTCCAGAGTCTGCAGTAATAGTCGAAGGAATCTGATGTCTGCTACTCTGTCGAAAATGGCTAGATTCACTATTTTAGCATAATATTCTTTACAGATTTCGTGTGAAACAGTTAGCACACATGTTAAGCTATGAAAGTATCCAAACCAAGATATTCGTGTTTGAGACGAGATTCAGGAGCTCAGTTAGAGCCTAATAGAGATATGGTATATCCAATCACCTTGAAAATCTGAAAGTTTACTCAGCGCTAACCTAACTCGTTAATATCTTTAATCTAACCAGTCTTCAAAATCGTCCCTCAATGAGTCCAGTAGTTGCCCGAACACAGAGAAAAACGTAGATTACATATAGTACACATTATTTCGAAGAATTAGAGGATCAGTTCAAGCTTCAGATGATAAAACTTCGTTATGCTATCCCATTTTTTTATTCCACAATCATAGGGTTGTGAGAAGTCCAATATCCAGTAATTCGATGTGAGAGAAAATGTTGATAGCTCGTGACAGAAGGAACCGGTGATTTTCACTGTTAGAAATAAATAACTAAGAGTTCCACGCCAAAAGTGCTATATCTCTATTTATTATCTCGTAGCTCGTATATCTCGTGAAGAATGATAAGTGTCAGGTATGTTTACCAAATCATGTACGGCTCTTCAAACTGCTGAATCGGACACGCCTTTGGAGAGACTAATTGGTGACTTAGAGTCCTCGTCCGCCAACAGAGCTGACTTGGCGATACATTCCTTGAGTGTAAGACATTTTTTCCTCATCGTCATCCAAGTTGCTGATTTTTTCCTTTTCACATAGCAAATCATCAATCCATCCCATAAGAGACTCTTCGTTTGATAAAAACAGCAAAGTGAAACTTGTAAGCCAACTGAACATAAGTATTTGCTTGCCAGCGGTCATCTAGAGTTGCTTGCACCTTATTTTGTAGAAGCCTAATACCTTTAGCTTAAATGCTATTCCTTAAAGATCTGTGTAGTCTTTCCCGAGTTTATAATCCTGAGTGTTTACGAAAAATTTCATGTTTTGAAATCGTTGCCGTCATTTGGCAGGAATATACGTGAAGGAAATGCACTTCAGAAGTTTAAAAACCAAATATTACCCAAAATAATCATGGATTGGATTCATTTTATTCAATGTTCAGTTTCCGAATGGTGAGTCAGTATACTGTCGACGATACAGGTGGCTTTATGGCCATGGTATGTTATGAACCGATTATGCACATCAAGATTGTTGGGGTCATGTTTTTCGTAGATCAGTGTATATTACAGGAAAAACAATACTTACGAAACCAAGATTTACAAACTCAAATTTCTCTGTCTAATTACCTTTCTTGATGTAAAGATGTTAAAACAACTATATTGTTCTGCACAGCTTTTCAATAAAAGTGTAACCTCATCCATCCACGTTTGTTTGTATCCTTAATCAATGTCATTAGTCAAGGTTATATGTAGAAGTGACAATTTGGTTTGGTTGTCAAGTTGTGGTTTGTGACTAGCAATCGATGGAGATGAGAAAAGCCACAAATAACCGGCCATCATAAATAATGTCTAAAACATCGGAAATGGAAAAGAATGGTAAATCTTGCTCTACTGACTCCCCTGAAGTTTCAAATCTTGAACTGTCTATGGAGTTTATTAACTGTGTTATGTCTAAAGATTTTCGACAAGCTATAAATCTTGCGAAACAGATCCTGGAGCTTGAACCAAACAACCCACAAATTCAAGACTTTCTTCCATTGTTGAATGAAGCAGATTACATGAAAACTGCCGGTGTTTTTCATTCCCTTACTGACGACTCAAATACAGAATCCGAGGAAGACGATGATACTGGTAGCCATCTAAACACTTCAACGGATACAGACTCTTCTGATGAGTTTGACTACACAAGTTCTGACTCTGACTGCTGTCGCAGTACTAAAAAAAAACATGGTTCTTAAAAATGGATTTTGTATACTATTCTGAAAACTGTATACTTTGATAAATAAACCATATTTTTGATTGACAGTTGTCAGGTTGTTTGATTTTCACTTTTTTGCTCTACAGACGTGATTATTAATTTATTTCTAGAAACCAACACCAATTAGATATATATTGTCATATGTGCATCGTTTGGAGACATAGTAGTGAAGCTCTTTTCTGTAAAGTTACAGCTATTCTGGAAAACCTCACTTCGCACCTTTTGACAACTTTTCATACCTGCTTTTTCATGCATGTAATAGGTGGTATCAATCTTTAATTTAAATTCTTTTGATGAACTAGTCCCATTCTGCAACCGATTTACGTCGTCTCACACTTTTTTAAACACTTTAATCAGCAACTCTACGTCATCTTTTTATTAATACCCATATCACTAACCACTCTGTATATTTCCCTGTTTGGAGTAATTAAATGTGTAAGAAACTGTTTGACAATGAGAAACTCAGCTTACGAAATATATGATGACTGATACTTACTCGCGATCGAAATAATTTTAGATGAAATCCGGAATTCGGTCGTTATCATATGTTATTCTACATTTATCCCTTGTAATAATAACAAAAGTGTCAGTAATTTGCTCGATTTCTTGTAAATATTTGTTTCATTCCAAATAATCGAATTCTAAAACCACCGTATTTCAACCTGTACCTTGATCTCCCATTTTCTTTTTTCTGTCATCAGTTGTCCAGTTATTATCTCTGCAGGCCATGTTTTTATTCTTTCCACTTATCTTTTTTCTGTGTTTTCATACTGATCACTTAATAAAGAGTTTTGATTATTCTTATATTAGCCAAGAAAAACCTAATGCAGTTAACTATGTTGCTGGTGTGAATAAGGCTTGGATATTTTTATCATATTTGAACTGCCCAGAGATGATTGCAATAATTTTCGTCAAATTTTCCTCTTGAGACATTTTCATTCATCCTTGAAAACTTGGTTACTTCAAGTTTACCCATGTTAGCCCTATATAATTATAGAATTGTCCTTTAAAAACGATACAGGTTGAAAACAGTTTTTTCTAGTGAAAGTATTTAGAAAATTATCCAGACTTCGTATAATCTAAATGGTCAGTATTTAACTGTTCTATGATTTGTAATCATTGAGTGAGTGACGTCTTATTAACAATCAGATGTTTCGTAAGTAAATCGGTGAATATATTTTGTCGTAGTTCAAAAGTATGCAGTACTTACTGTCTCTTGTGATTTCTCAATGGTTCCTATTGAATAAACTGTACAACTAAGAACCAGTAAGAATTGTTTGTGCCAGTCTTATGCTCTAGATTAACATATATTCTGTTCTTTTTAAAATAATTCAATATCTAGTAAGTTATAAGCACTACAAATATCGATGTACCTAATCATCAAATCTAATCATTAGAAATAAATTATGTTTCCCTGGTGACAGTTCTAATCAGCATACATTTGATGTAAAAGCTCACAGAATGTCACACTCACACAAGAACTTATAACGAACGCCCATAACTTAATTATCATCATATGTGCTTAGAACTACAGATATTTAACATCCAAATAGTCTGATTGTAGTTCTATTTATTGGAAAACTTTGCCTTATTGTGAATTTAATACATTATGTCCTCCTGTTAAATATTTCATTATTTCTAAAATATTTGTCACAGATCACAAAATAAGTCTAACTTTTGATGGCACAAAAGTGTAACTTCGATGAGAAATCATGAAAACCCCGTATTTTGTCAGTTCAAGCCAAACACTTTTGATTTGAGAACAATAAAAGTTGATTTTCAGGAAGGCTCATCGTGCAAATCTCTGTCCATTTTGAGATGAGGTTGGAATTCTTAGATGTTATATCTTTCATTAAGTAGTTCAATACATTTTTTGTACAGTAACTCGTCATCACCGTATTTGACGTGACTAGATTGCTTTTATTGAATGACTAATACATTTGCGGCACAATTAAACATTTCATGTTTTGTTTAAATTTGATAAAACAGTACAATGAAATCTCATACTGACAACTTCGAATTCGAGTTTTTCTTGCTTTCTGTAAGTAACAGACTTATTAGGATTTGTGGTATTTCGTTAGACTATTTCAAATTTATATTTAATGTTGCGAGCAAGATATGCAAGACTCTTTTACAAACCATAGGCTTTTCTTCTAAACGAATTTATGAACTGAGCTGATGTTTTATCTTCCTTGAAATTATGCAACATCGCATTCTTAATAAACTACTTCCTCTGGTGACGCGTTGATAGCTACTTTCATTAAATTATTTAAATCCATGTCAGCTTCGACGCCCGATATGAAATTAAAGCAGTTTGACGAAATAATACAAATTCCAGTAGATATGGAACTTTTTCAAGAAACAATTAAGAACACGAATTTTAAATTCTTAGTGTGAAATTGTTTTGTGTTGTTTAAAAATGACATAAAATATTTAATTTTAGGATAAATTTTCTAGTAATTTACCACACTCGCCTGACGTTGGCTTTCCCTCTATGTCTATAATTTAGTCTCGCTTTATTTTCAGCTTTCTCAGATCATCTCAGTTTTTCAGCCTCTTGATTTGCATTTTCTTCATCTCTCTGAAGTTCAACGAGTACTTCATCATCAGCTTGTATTTTTTAATAAGCAATGATCTAAAACTGATACTTAAGTTGTTAATCTGCTTGTACTTTCCTTTTCATTTCAACAACTTAAGCACAGCATGACATCATTCATTTCGCTAGTGCTAAAGGTTCTTCATTCTGCATCAATATATTGATTGAGGTACCTTCACTTACTTGTTTCTCTTCTGTTTTTTCCGTTTCGGTATCATTCAATTACCCTATATATTTCCAATCAATTCTTTTTAACTTCAATTCAGCCATTTTGTTGACTTATATTTACTCAGTATTGTTCAAATATACAGTGATGTACTGCACAAATTTAGGTGTTATTCCAATCTTTAAAGTTTTATAATTTTTGATGATAGCATCCAAGACGTCTGGTATAATAGTTTTCTTAGGACAAACTTTCCTATACACCCATCCATATCTCAACTGTTTGTACATTTTTATTTGATTTAGATAAAATGCAATTTGTGACATACTTTACGAAGATATATGATTACTTTCCTTGGGTTTAGTTGCTGTTGCTACATTGATTTGATAAGCTGCCACTAAAGAATAGTTACCAAAATTATCACTGAATAATCACTATCTAAGCTAACATATTGGAAGTTCCTATAGAATATCAAAGTAAAATCGGGACAATTTAGACTGTTATTTATACATAACTGTAATTCTTTCCATTAGCCAACAGAAATAGTTGCGCATTTAAGTTCAAGTCATAAACCCTCTTTCAGTTAAATACTTACTGTGGGCCACCGATGAATTGATAAATAAACGCTCCCATTCTCCAAAACAACCAAACTTTGTCTAGTCAAAATCTACCTTTTCTGGCTGCTATCTTGAAGCATAAAAACTGACTGCAGAATTGAGTCAGTCGTAGACAGAATAAGACGTAAGTAATGAGTTTATCGGCCTAATCCGCCACGCCTCACATAAGTAATATGACAAAGGAAATTCACAAAACATGAAGCAGGGGAAGAATTCATCGCAATGGAAAGCCAAATATAGAAAACACAGTTCATAAGTAACGGGTAAAATATGCATATACAAACTCTGGAATGATAATAAGTTCAATATTCATACGAAACCAACGTAACTACATCGCTGAGTGGGATTTCAAATCGTGTTGACCTACTGAATCAACACTAAAATTGGCATCATACAAATTTTACATTTATAAATAGCAAAACTTTAAATGTTCAAAACATTTGTGTGAACAAATTTCAATCCAAAGGTTTTATACACTACATTTAGAGGTTAAAACTGATGTTCCAAATGCGTGGGAGATTAACAGATCACCAATCTTTACAAATTCATTTCATTGATTACTTAAAACATCTGTTAAAAGTAAAAAGATAACTAAGTTTTATAGATACATAGTCACAACTATTTCTCCACACATCATCTCTGAATAAGACTAAATCATTAGATGTTCTGGTAGTGTATGATTTAATTAGTTTGTATCGATAAAAATGATCAACTAAAATGAGTTTTTTTTAATTTTTCGGTAATGATAACAGTAGACTTCAATAACAATCTTAGTTCATCCTACATTGCACAAATTGGCAATGTACAAGTGTCAGTTGGTTAATAAAAAGGACAAAGAAGTTATCAGTAATATACACGTCAGTTCTGTCAAAATACTTGTATACATCTTGTAGTAAATTTTTTCATAAATCAATGTGCATTATGAAAATGCTTAGAAATGAATTTAACATCAGTTCAATAGACTATGACGAAGAGCAACAGTGTTAACTAGCTTTAACATTATTTTAATTTTCTTTTGAATTGAAATATCTATTAGTTTGTATTGTCCGCTAGTCAGTCGAATTTATGATGAAAGAAAAATGCTGTTTATCATTGATTTGGTATACACTGAAATAATTCACATCTGATAACAACTTTAATCCATCTTTTCCCGTGTATTTGAAATCAACAGTAGCGCTATTTATGCACATATACACTCATTTTCAATTTACTTTTCTTCTTGGATATATCGTTTAATTGATATTAAATGTTTTCAGTAGTCATATAATTTCTTTTTTTTCAAAATTATCCAAAATGTAATTTGGAATTTTATTTCCTATATATCTTCTACACAAAATAAGAACATTGAAGTAATAGGCGAAGAATTCACCTCTCATAAAAATTTATCAGAGAGCGAAAAATCTTCTACACTTATTTACTCTTAATTTACCTACAGTCTGTAGATTGATCTTGTTTAGTTTATCTTAGAATTCGACACTAATAATTCATTCACAAATACATTCAGATTGTTAGAATTAATTAATTCACAAAACAGACGGGTAACCTTTCCCATGTGATATATTTAACTACAAATTTTAATGTATTGATTATGAGTGAAGACGCTA